AATATGTTGTAATTAGAACAGAAATATTGGCTGAGTGAAATGGCTCACGCCTTTAATCCTAACACTCTGGGAGGCGAAGGTGGGTAGATCCCTAGAGCTCAGGAGTTCCACACCAGCCTGAGCAAGAGCAATACTCTATCTCCACTAAAAACAGAAAAATCTAGCCAGGTATCATAGTGCACGCCTATAGTCCCAGCTACTTGGGAGGCTGAGACAAGAGGATTGCTTAAACCCAAGAGTTTGAGGTTGTTGTGAGCTATGATGCCATAGCACTCTATCTAACAAGGGTGACAGAATGAGACTGTCTCAAAAAAAAAAAAAGGAACAGAAATATTATGATACCGTTATAAAAATCTAGGACCCATTTCTTCAAAATAAACTTGAAAAGGCAACTTTAATTAGATGGAAATTAAGCTTCATAAAATTTAAAACTTCTCATTCAAGGGCACTGTTAGTGCTGACTAGAAAATATCTATAAAAGTTATCCCTGACAAAGGCTTGGTATTGCCTTTAAAAAGGGAATACTATTCAAACCTAAATAAAATTAGATTCTATAACAAACCCCGGGGTAGCCATATTTGATTTTGTTGGAATTTTTACTTGACAGTTTCAACAACGGAATTAGAATACAGATTCCAGAATCTGAATTCTAGAATCCATGCTTTTCACTCTGTACTATTATTGTTTGCTTTGTTTGAATTGTCAAAGGGCTTATGTCTAATGCTTATCAACTTTTGGTATCAGTCAGGATCCTGGATATACCATATCCCATTCATTAGAGAATAAATGAAATGGTTTCCATTACTTTTCACAAATCTATTATATTTTCTAATTCCACAAAAAGCTGATAGACTAAATAAATGAGCAGCAACTGATCAGGCTATATATAGGCACCCTCAAACTACAGCTCGCAAGCCACATGGCCCACCAAGGACATTTATCTGGCCCGCCGGGTGTTTTTGCTGCCACCGCCTGTCCTGCTTAGCAGCCGACTCATCCCGGGGCCCGCAGTCTGGCCCTCCAGTGGTCTGTGGGACAGTGAACTGGCCCCCTGTTTAAAGAGTTTGAGGACCCCTGGGCTATAATGTAGAGAAAAGAACAAGAATATACAAACTGAAATCAATCGATTAATACAATTAACTCCTAGCTTTACAGAAAAACCCACTGATCACTGAATTTATTTAAGCTGTTTAAATAATTGATACTTATTAGTACCAATCCAGATAGACTTACAAATTTTTTAGTCAGAAGCAGCCAATTTTGATATTTGAAACAATTAACAATTTTGTAAAAATAATTCTCCCAACCACTGTCCCCAGCTTTCTAATGCCCAGTATGAATTAAATCTGCTTTTCTTGATCTGAGTTCATAGGAAAAATATTTCAATTCTGCAGAAGAATAAATTATCATGATTTTCATATCCAAACTTTATCAATTTATCTTCCTAACCATATCATCATATGACCGCTAGGTGTTGAATATCTTATCATTAATATGATATTCTGAATTGCCAAAGACTTTTAGGAATGGTAAGATTATACATAGAGGGCAAATGCCTTTAAAAAAACAATATTTCGCATGTTTTACTAAATTGAAAAGATTTTTTTTTTTTTTGAGACAGAGTCTCACCCTTGGTAGAGGGCTGTGGTGTCATAGCTCACAGCAACCTCAGACTCCTGGGCTCAAAGAGTTCTCTTGCCTCAGCCCCAAGTAGCTGGGACTACAG